ATTGCTAGCTCGTCTCCACCCAACGGGGTCCATTGCGCTAGAGGAGAGCTCTCCGACTTCTTTGCCTGGTGATGAACACCGGACTGCCGGGCCCTTGGAACCCACCATCTCTGGGTCTGCGCCCCTGAGCTTCTCTAGGCGGGTCTCCTCTCCTGCCCCGCAGCTCCCTCTGCTGTGCGGCCTTGTCTCTGGCTTCCCCCTCAGCCTCTTCCAGCATCGTACATCGTACTCTCATCCATGGTTCTCCTCCCAGAAGTGTGTTAGAATCTTTCATCCACCAAAGACCACGCCCTCTATTGTTCATGTGTGTGTGTGTGTGTGTGTGTGTATGCATATATGTATATATGTATTTAATAATAGTGGAGAAAAATAAATGTTTTCAGTCTAAACCCTCTAACACTTTTAACTTAGCTGAACCTCACGTTTGCCAAAATTATAGTGTCCTATTAACTTCCAAATGAAATATAGATTTAGAAACAGTGTTATATAGAGATTTGAGGGGATTGTGGGAAGGTTGATCAACCTGACTGCAAGAATAAAAATTCTGTGTCCTTTATGAAGAAAACCAGGTCAGCACCCCCGCACGCAGGATTCCTTATTGTACTACCAGTTTCAGTCCTGCAGTCCAGGCCGCCCCTCCCCGGGCTCACACGCCCTGGGGTGTGACATCTTAGCAACAGACTGCTTTTCTCAGTGGTAAAGCGAATCCAGAACTGCTTCAGGGAAAAGAGTTTTCCACCAGTGGTATTCCTACAACTGCATTCTCTTTGGGGCAGGAAGACCGGTTAGGCTTCAGAACTTTCCCAGAAGATTGCCAACGCACCTGTTCGCTCATCACTTCTGTCTGTCTCTCTGCCCTGAGCTGGGCCCTCCTCAGAGCGAATGATCTCAGCCTGCCAGCCACGCGACTCCGGCTGCAACCCAAGGCTGAGGAGACACTGCCTGAAGGAACAGCATCTAAAGCAACGTTTCCCAAACACTGTTCTGTGGAACACCAGTTCTTTCAGATGTTAATAGATCTTCACCTGCAGAAGTCCCATGATGATCCAAATGCGCAATTGCATATCAAACTGCCTGAAAAGAAAAGCGTCATAGAAATCAACCTGTTTTACCTGGTTGAAACCGGCCTTTCCCAATACTGTTTGACCCAGGAAGCTTTATTGAGGAGTTTTTACCAGAAGCGCACACAAAATCCACTTTACACCACGCTGCTGGGAAAAAAATCATCTCATGATACTCATTGTCTGAAACACTCCACATAACAAGTGTCTCAGAATGTGTGCGAAGGGCTGGGTGGGAGCTGGCACTTTCTCCCTTTCTGATGAAACAACCATGTAACTCGTTCCCCTTTTTATTCCAGGAAACTCTGAGTCAAACTTGATACTCAGTCACAGCAAAGAATCCATCTCTATCATGAGCATATTGACTTTCTTCCTCTTCCCATATCCTCATTGTTTTTATTTTATTTAACCTTCTGTGTAAATTCACACCTAACAGGTATAATGTATGGGACCTGGGTGATGGACACACTTATAACTTTGGCTCGAACTGTACAAAAGTAATTCATGTAACCAACACGTTTGTACTCCCGTAATATCTTGCGAAAAACAAGACAAAACAAAACCTTCCGTTACTACGACCTTTGATAAACCACTTCCAAAACGTTTCAGGAACAATCTGAGTGTGTTTCAAGGGGAAAACGTGGCTAAGAAGACCTGACCCAGCTATGACAGTTAGTGTTGACATAAGGTGATGTAATAGCTACGGTCACCAGGGTCAGCAATACGATCAGGGCCTAAGCTCACATTGTGACAAGTTCCCCAGACCTCAAGCCATTGTTATATGGGCTTCAATTTTTTTTAAAAAAAGGCTTTAAAAAATAATTACTACCGCATTCCTTGTGTCCTGGTGAAGCATTTGCCCATCTAATCTCTAGCTGCATGTAGGCCTATTTCATAGTAAAATCATATAGTAATTATACAAATGATAGATTATTTTGATACATCTACTTTGTGTCTTGCTTTGAAATTTTGTTAGATGAATGTCCAAAAGGGAGACTATCGGGTGAGTGGCATCGACTCTTTGTAACTCTCCGTGTGGATACAGTATTGAGGTTTGTGTTTGCCTGTTTTATCTTAAATGCAGGAGTTGGTAAATTCCATCTTTTTAGTTTAGGCTCATGATCCTAATTTATACAAATTTTCCTGCTTCTGAGCCTTGTCGTCCAACAGATTAACTTTTGCTTTGTGCCGTTTGCATGTTTGAGAAATAAATACATTCTTTTAGTTTTGAGCCTGAAATGAGACCATGTAAGAGAGGATCAAGGACGTGGCTCCCTGACACCCCAGAAGCCCCTTCCTCACTGTCTGGTGGGTGAAAATCTATCTGAGGGGCACATCATCAAGTCCACATGTCTGCAACCTGTCTCAAAGGAGTAAATAAGAGACTTTGTCCGATACCTTGCCGAGTGGACAGGACACACTTGGCCCATCCTGGGGCCCAGTCACAAAGCAAGGAGGCTAGTGGGAGCCCAGGCTGGGATACCGGTGCTCGATGATCTATCACGATGTGTCAGGTGAAGCTGCCAATTTAAAAGGAAGATGTTCTTACCTCAGGAGGTCTCCTAACACCCCAGGATGTAAATAGAATCTTGGATTCATATGTGTGTGTGTGTGTGTGTGTGTGTATTTGTGTTTTATTCATCAGGAGTTTATTTTCATATATGGCGTGAGATAGGGGATCAAGCTTCCCCCTACTCCAGATGATGGGCAGCTGTGCTAGCACCTTCCTTTACCAATAGTTTGGATCATATCTTTAATATTAATTTTGAAATATTTCCACCAATATTCATAAACGGTATTGGTCTATCCTTTGTTTTCATCATTGTTATTATTGTTATAAAACTTTGTATTAAAGTGATGCTAGCTTTGAAAAGTGAATTGAGGATATTGTCACGTTTCTAGCGTTTGGCATAGATTAAATGACACTGGAAATAACAGAGAGCGGGACTCAGTTGTGAAACCATCTGGTCCCACGTGACCTTTTCGATGGCGTACTTTTTGCTCCTCTCTTCAGGCTCATCTGTGGTGACTGGTCTATTCAAGTTTTCTACTTCTTGGTTTAATTCTGTTAATTTACATTTTGCATGGAAGCCACCTGTTTCCAAGTATGTTGCCACAGTGTTATGAGTAGTATTGTTCCACAGCAGTCTCGCTTGTCCCTGTATCTGGGAGTATTTGACTTTCTCATTCTACTCACGTACACTTTTGCTGTGTTTTATTTCTGCCTTTATTTGTCTCACAAGAAGTTTACCTGCATTAGTAACATTGGTCATTTCAGTGAAATGTTTGGATTTGTTTATCCTTTCTACTATGTTTCATATTTTTTTTTTTGTTTGGGTTCTTTTTTTTGTTTTTTTTTTTTGAAACAGAGTCTCAATCTGTTGCCCAAGCTAGAGTGCGGTGGCGTCAGCCTAGTTCACAGCAACCTCAAACTCCTGGGCTCAAGCCATCCTCCTGCCTCAGCCTCCCGAGTAGCTGGGGCTACAGGCATGTGCCACCATGCCCGGCTAATTTTTTTCTATATATTTTTAGTTGCCTGGCTAATTTCTTTCTATTTTTAGTAGAGATTGGGTCTCGCTCTTGCTCAGGCTGGTCTTGAACTCCTGACCTCAAGCACTCCTCCCGCCTCAGCCTCCTAGAGTGCTAGGATTACAGGAATGAGCCTGGCCCCCATCTCGCTTTTTACTTTACAAAACTACAACTCTGGTTATACGAAACTCTCCTCCCGTGCACCTGTGCACTTGACAATGAGTGCAGAAAAACCCATATCTGAGCTGATTGGTGTCCCTTTGAATTCTGCCCACAAGCCTCTATAAACCCTGACTGCCGCCCGGGTTTGCCGTACTACCTGTTCTTCGCCCCGTCCCCTCCACTCCCAGCCCTCACTTCTCACTTCTGGTCAATTGTCCACAGTGGGGACGTTTCCGCTTCGGTTGAAACTGGTACATTGAGTTCCCGGTTTGTAATAGCGTTCACTTCTGGAGCACTTAGAGCATCTTACGCAATTTGATTTTGCCACTGCTATGGTCTGAATGTTTGTGTCTCCCTCAAATTCACGTTGAAATCCTTGCCCTCAAGGTGATGGTATTATGAGGTGGGGCCTTTGGGAGGTGATTAGGTCATGAGGGTGGAGCCCTGACGAATGGGATTAGTGTCCTTACAAAAGGGGCTCAAGGGAGCTTGTTTGCTCTTTCTGCCGCTTAAGGACACAATGAGAAAGTGCTGTCTCTGAAGCAGGAGGCGGGCCCTCAGCAGACACCCAGTGTGCCTGTGCCTTGATCTTAGACTTCCAGCCTCCGGAACTGTGAAAAATACATTCGTGTTGTTTATAAGCCACCCGGTCTATAGTGTTTTGTTACAGCAGCCGGAATGGGCTAAGACAGCCCCCAAACACCGAAGGGGCCTGAGATGAGCAAAGTGCTTAACCCGTGTAGATGCTTATTTGATTTGAACAATAAAATGTATTTAGAAAATTTCTGTGTGAGACAACATTCCTGATAGGATCATTCCTGGGCACCTGCTCTAGGCTTCAAGGTGATCGGTCACAGTGTCTGTCTCCAGATTGCATTTGTACAGTTTTCAGGGAAAGTTTCACGTGGCCAATGTGTGGGGAGCAAACTGACTAGCGGGGGCTGCCCTGCCCCACCAGGGAGAATGACTAGGGTGCGGGGCAAATTAACTCCGCCACACAGGTGCTCCAGTAAGTGGAATGTACTTTGGGAATCCCGGAAACACAGTCGAGGGGTGAAATACTTCTCCCATTCTCTCTCGGGGAAAGGAAAGTCCAGCCTTGGAATGTCTGGCTTCTCAGAACTGTTAGTTCATGCTCACGGACCAATGACTGTCACAGGGGAATTTTTCTTTGGACTCTTTGCTGCTTCCCTAATTCCACCACGGCAGGCCGCTCCCATGCAGCAGGGAATGCCTGTTTGTTAACAGCTCAGGTGTCTGGGAAACGGTTCCCGGGGAGTGAACCGCCAGACCACCTTCGGCAAAAACGGCAAAACGAGTCAGGGACTTGTGAAAAGCAGGTTTCAAAGGGCAATCCCAGGGAGCCTGGAACCTTCTCACTGGGCGGTGGCCTGGCCTTGGAGCTGGTTCTGCGGAACGAGCTCTGCGGAGGGAGCAAAGCCCCTGGCCTCCAACGGGCAGAGCGCAAGCCGAGGCGGGGACACTGTGGCAGGTGGACCCGGCTCCGGCGTTAGTCGCTGCTGCCTGTGGGGCGGTTTGCGCTCCGCGAGGAATTGGTACGTGCGCTGTTCAGCAGGCAGGGCCGCGCGTGCGTCTGCAGGCGGCAGCACACAGATGCGTCCTTTCTCTCTGGACCCTCGTCAGGATCTCTCAGGCTCGAGGCCAGACTCAGCGACCAGGAAGCAAACGTGCAGAGGCTCGATGGCCACGTCTCCTGACGGCTCCCGGCAGCCTGGCCCCCAGGTGCCGGCAGCAGGGATGAGAACCCGCTGCAGGGTTTCAGGAGGGGAGTGAAAGGAAACCCTTCTCCTTCTCTGCGCATTCGCTGGAAGCGAGCGATGCCATTCGGGGCCGTTTGAGCACCGGACAGCAATAGGAAGCCAGGGTCACCCAGGCTTTCTCAACCCTCGGACGGCTTTAAAACAGATGCGCTTGCCCGAGTCCAGCGCAGGGGGCAGGGGGTTCCGGGAGGGGCTGGGGCACCCACCTCCCCCGAGCTTGGGGGGTGCTGGGTGCGGGGTCGTCGTCCCAGCCCATGATGTCCTTCCATTTCCCTTCTTACAACCGTTTCTCTCTCTTATGCCCCTGGGCTGGAGAACACACTAATGCCAGTGAGGACATAGTGTTCCCAACACTTTAAACTCCGCCCTTAGCTGTCAGAAGAAAGGTGCCGGGCGCAGGGGCACCTTGAGCAGGACTGGGCGGAGACAGGGTCAGTGTGCCAGGCCCCCTCCCTTCCTGCTGCTCATTCATCCCCCCAACTCCGTGGGGACAACGCGGCTTTATGGCCAAGGTGACGTGAGAACAGTAACAGCGCTCCCTGAGCTCCGCCTTCCTGCTCTAGACACCTGAGAAACACGAAGGGTCTGCAGACCCGACACAGTTACCCGGCACAACTTCCCAGCACCAGACGGTGTGACAAGGCGGAAACACAGGCAGGTCTCAGGCGATGGCAGCCGACTCTCAGGCTCCCTCTACTCCGTGGGAGCTGTGCACCCATGGGTGCCCCCACCCATCGCTGATCTCCCTCCCGCTGTATAGGTGGAGGGCGGGTGTCAGGGCTGCTTCTAGAGTAGCAGGTACCTTGGATCCTGAGGTCAGTATAAGGGGCGCCTGTGTCCACACCCCCAAGCATTAATGTTTAACTTCAGTGAATATAAGAATATTTACAAGAACTATGTTTGGTGCATTCCTAACCTCAGTCCCTTAAACTGACCTTTCGCAAGGTGCAAAGAGCCCCCCAAACTGTTCCGAGGTTTGCTTCGCAGAGAGTACGTGTGTAGGTGCTCATGTGCCCTGCACACGCACACGGCCTCATAAACGAACGCGAAGAAGACAGGTGCTAAGTTTCGAGGCCTGGGACTGCTCACCCACCCGCCCTGCCTGGCCACTTGGCTTTGTGACCAGGAAGAGCTGAGGAGGTCTGGGCAAGGGGGATTTGGAAGATGACCGGGAGGCCCTTCCCACAGACTGCCCCCCTCACCCTCCTGCCTCCTCTCCTGAGCCAAGGAGCGGCAGGGGCTGCAGCGGGCTGTCTTCGTCCTGTGGGAGTTTGCCCCGTCGGGCAGGATGAGTGTCTGCGGACTACAGCCAGGAGCCCTGGGGCAGGACGAGGGTCTGCTGGTGGAGACCCTGGACCTCCCAGCAGGGAGGGCAGTGATGGCTGCCTGAGAGTCCCTGAAAAGGACTAGGCATTTGAGAGCTCTCCAACCCTGAGACCTGCGGAGTAAGAGGCTTTGCAGCTGAAAAATACTAATACTAAATCTTACTCCGACCTCGGTCTAGGAACTGGTATTACACATTTACACTAACTCATTTAATTATCATAACAACCTCATCATGTAAGTTCTATTATGACTCCATTTTACAAAGGAGAGAAGTGAGGCACAGAGAAGTTAAGTGCCTTCCCTAAGGTCACACAGCTAGCAAGTGGCAGAGCTCGGATCCCAAATTAGGCAGTTTGGCTTCTAATCACTACTTGCGCTGTGCCTCTGGGTTGGTGTGTGATTTATGTATTACATGCTGCTGGCACCATGAGCTACTCGTCAAAAAATATATACCTGTATATAAAGTTAAACTTTTTTCTGACTTCATATTCAAAAAGAAAGATACATTAAATGCAAAATGTAAAAATAATTAAATAAAAATCATACAAAAAAATTGAAGCAACTATGTCTTACCCTTCCGATAGGGGAGACTTTTTAAGTCAAGACAACAAATCTGGAAGCTATCTTAGGAAAGACAAATGTATTTGACTATGTTATGAGTAAAGTCAACTGGATAATGATAAAGTGAGGGTGGGGGGAGATTTTTTTCAATGCATGCTGAAAGATCACTAAGAAAAAATAAAGTTTAAGAAAAAAGTAGTAAGCAAGTCGAAAAATGGGCAAAATATTTGAAGAGGCAATTCATTTTCACAAAAGCAAATTGAAAGACTGATAAAGATATTAAAAGATGTGGAACTTCACTAGTAGTTAAAGAAATGCAAATTAGAATAATGCCATTTTAAAAAATTAAGAAGCGTGACACCCAATATTTACAAGAATTAGGAGAACACTATTAAATTGGAACTAACCAATCGGCACTCGTGTGAATAGATAGAAGTAAAACTCAACAGAAATCATGCAGGTGGGAGGGGGAAGGGAGAGATGGGTGAAATCATACCTAACGGGTACAAGGTACACTCTCTGGGAGATGCGCACACTTATAATTTTGACTCAAGCAGTACAAAAGCAATCCATGTAACCAAACCATTTGTACCCTGTAATATTCTGAAATTTTAAAAAAAGAAAAAAATCATAAAATTATTTCTCAATAAAAAAAGAATTAGGAGAAAGTTCTTATATACTATTAGAAAAATGGATGGCATAGCCTTTTTGGAAAGTACTATAGCAATAGCTATTAAAATAAAAGTGCAGAGATATGGAATCAACCTAAATGTCCATCAATGGATGAATGGATAAAGAAAATGTGGTATATCCACACGATGGAATAGTAGTCCGCCTTAAAAAAGGAAGGAAATCCTGTCATTTGTGACAATGTGGATTAACCTAGAGAACATTATGATAAGTGAAATAAACCAGGCACAGAAAGACAAATGCCACATGATCCCACTTACTTGTAAAATCTAGAAAAGTTGAACTCATGGAAGCAGAGAGTAGAAAGGTGGTTACCAGGGACTGGGGCAGGGGTGTGGTTGGGGAGATGCTGATCAAAGGATACAAAATTTCAGTTAGGAGGAGTAAGTTCAAGAGAGCTATTGAACAACATGGTGACTATCGTTAATAACAATATACCGCATTCTTAAAAATTGCTGAGAGTAGATTTTGTGGTCTCACCACCAAAAATAACAAGTATGTGAGATAGTGCACATGTTAATCTCCATCTAGCCATTCCACAATGTATACATATTGCAAAACATCATGTTGTGTGTGATAAATGTGTACAATTTTTGTCAATTGAAAATAATTAATTAATTAATTTAAAAAATATGACCTACCTTTCTTCCCACCAGTTTTACTTCTGGCACTCTACCCTAAGAAAATAAAAGCACCAACGTGTAAGGATTCATATATATATAAATTTTATGGCAAGAACCGGACCCAAAACCAATGCCCATCAGCTGAAGAATGCTTGACAAAGCCTCGTTCACGCAGATAATGAAATGCCATGCAGCCACTGAAAGCTCGGGTTAGACTTACACCAGTGACTGGGAAAGATCGTCACAATGTATTCTTTTTAACTTTTTATTTTGAAATAAATAAAATAATCTGAAACTTCTAGAAAATTGCAAAAGTGGTGCAAACAATTTTTATATTCCCCTTCCTTCAGATTTTCCAGTTGTTAACATTTTACCATATTTGTGTGCTTACTGTGTCTCTCTGAGTAGAGAGAGATAATTTTTCATTATTCTTCTTTTTACCTAAATACTTCAGTATGTATATCTTCAAAATGAGGATATTTTCTTCCACAATCACAGCATAAGTAGCAAAGTCAGGAAATGAGCGTTGGTATAACACTAATATTTAGTCCACAGCAAAGTGTCCCAGTGACGTCCTTTATGCAAAAACAAAACAAAACAAAACAAACTTAGGTCTCTAGGATCCAATCTAGGATTCACGTTGTGTTTACTTGTCATGTCTCTTTCATTTTCTTCAGTCTGGGGAACCTCCTTGGTCCTTTATTGTCTCTCTTGACCCCAATGTTTTCGAGGTGTGCAGGCCAGCTGTTTTGCAGGACGCCTCTCAGTTTTGTCTTGTCTGATGTTTCCTCATAGTTAGAAGCTGGTCATGTGCTTCTGGTAGGAATATCGCAAAAGGGATGTTAGCCTTTCTCAGTGCCATGATGTATTCTTTTTTTTTAATTTAGTGGTTTTTAGTATATTCACAAAATTGTGCAACCATTACCACTACCTAATTTTAGAACATTTTCATCACCCCAATAAGAAACTCCATAACCCCGTACTTGGCCACACATCCCACCCCTAATTACTCCATTCCCATAGCTCTAGGCAACCACTAATCCACTTGCTGTCACTATAGATTTGCCTACTGTGGACATTTCTTATAAATAAAATCATATAACACGTGGTTCTTTGTCTGTCTGGCTTCTTTCAACTTAGCATAATATTTTCAAAGTTCATCTATGTTGTAGCATGGATATTTTCTTTTCTTTTTTGCTGAATAGTATTCCATTGCATGGATGTGCCACATTTTATTTATCTGTTCATCCATTGGTAGACATGCAGGTTATTTCCACTCTTTGGCTATTATGAATAATGTTGCTGTGGGCGATTGTGTATGAGTTTTTGTGTGGACATATGTTTTCATTTATCTTGGGTATGTACCTGGGAGTGGAATTTCTGGGTCATCTGGAAACTCTTATGTTTAAAATGATTGTATTAGGGTTCTCTAGAGAGACAGAAACAATAGGATATGGAGATATATACATATATATGTATATATATGTGTGTGTGTATATATATATAACATAAAGATTTGTTATAAGGAGTTGG